GAGGAGTCCTAGTTTGTGCCATTGCTCCCCTGTTTATGTTCTTCCTTGACTATTCCCACGCCCCCTCTCCAGATTTTTGCCTGGCTTTTATAGCCTCTAGTAATTATATCAGCAGCAAGGAGTCTATTTTTGTCTCTTTTGAATATGTGTAATGTAAATGTGAAGCACCATAAAATATCTTTTTAGACTGTACCTTGCACGCATGGTTTTGAAAACTATAATGCAGCATTTAGAGAAATGTTGCATTTTGGTCTCAGACAGGTGAGAAATAGAAAGCCAAATTTTACCACTTAGCTGCATGAACTTTCCTTAAGTCCCTTATCATTTTGCAGATTTATTTTCTTCTGAAAAGTGGAATCCTACCATCTACTTCATCAGGTGGTGGTTCAGTGTCTTAAGTAGCACCTGGATGCCCCCTTTTCACAGCAGGCACCCCCCCCCAAGTCCTAAATTATACGTTTTATGTTTAAATGTCATGACCTTTCAGTGCCCTATACCACTCTTCAAAACAGAGTGAGAATAAGATCATACCATCTCAATGTGACTTACTAAAAATTATCATAGGATTCAATCTCAAAATTATTATGTAAGAAAATTCTATGCAGTTCTATCGCTGAATATTGTCCCTGGATTTCACAAGTAATAATAGTAACAATCACCTATCATTTATTAAGCACTTACTATATACTGAGCTCTAGGTACTTTAAATCTAATCTTCACAAGCTCCCATGGATAGAGACTGCTTAGATCCTCCATTTAATGGTGAACACTAAAGCAGGTTAAATATCTCATCAAAACCCCCTAGTTAGGAAGATGAAGAGTTAGAATTCAAAAACGTAGGCAGCTTGATCCTGGAACTTAGAGAAAAATAATGCAAAAGAGGAACCTCCCCATTCTTAGCTTCTCCAGTTTCTAGTGCAAAGTTGTTTCCTCTGTTTGCACTTCCTTTTTGGAGGTGGCCCCTTTGGCAGACCAAATGGGTAGCAGAAGGACAGGTCAAGCTGGGATCCTCTCTTAGCTGCTAGTAACAAGGCTGACCTGCTTCAAGGCAGAAAATGGCCTCTGGTGTTCAGGCGGTCCGATGCAGCGGTGGATTTTCTGTGGCTCCTTAGTTTATGTTTAACTGAACATAGTTGGAGCAAATCCAGATAATTAGGACAAAATGTGGGGTTTTGTAGGTCAAAAGTTGTGTTTTAGTCCTGGAGAATGAGCGAGATGGGAAGTGAGTGGGGGACATAGTAAGGAGTTGTAATAAAAATAAAGAGCATCTTTTCTGCACATAAAATTCAGTGATCAAAGAAAGACTACATAGGGGCATGTTAGACATACAAAAGAATAACAGAAGGTATGACATGGGTAAGATAGAGAGAACCAGTTACAGTTTTCTCCACTTTTCATAAGTTATTCATAAATTATCCCTACCTTTTTTGTCATTGTAATTACATCGTGCTGAGGAGAATAGTGCAATAGACCTTGTTTGTGTGGAAAAGGTTACTGACCAGGTTCTTGGCAGCTGGAGAAAGGTTCACATGTAAAACAGAACAGGGATCTGAAGAGCAGGGTGTAAGATGAGATTTAGAGACGTCTGATAACTTTTTTATTTTTTTATTTTTGGTAATGGGGATAGAACTCATGACTTTGCAGGTACTTAGGCCACTGAGCTAAACCCCTGGCAGTCTGATAACTTTTAAATGCCAACGTTTTCCAACTTTTTATCAAATTTTAAAATCAACTTTCTGAAACTGACAACTATTTAACTTAACCCTTAATCTTGGATACGCTTCCCTTATGGGTTATCAGCAAACTCACATGTGAAACTCGTATGTTGAGAGAAGAAAAAAAATGAAAGTAAATTGGTTCATGGTCATCAAAATACCCTGCGATCCAGGATACCAGAGGAAATCTCACTAGGCACCAGTTGGACGACATCCATCCAGAGTCCAGAGATTGCTGTAGATGGTGTGTGTAATTTGTTTTGTGAAACCAGAATTGTGAAGACAAAAATCCATGCTAAATGGTTACATTGTTCATTTACTAAATTAAAGAAGGAAACAAGAGTGAGAGGGAAAAAGTGTATAGGGATGGAGAAAAAGTTGGTTAGATCTCCTTTGGCCTTGAAGCAAAGCCTGTTTGGGTAAATGGAAGAAGTTGGTGTAAGAGGGAGCGATCTGAAGGCATCGCTTGAATGCTTGACAGTATCTCAACGTGAGCATGTCTAGCTGTGGTCTGAGACTGGGGACTATCAACTAGAGATTCCTTCATTTAACTGTCTGTGTAAAAGTTAGAACATGCACACTTAATTTTAGGAAAAGAAGGAAGGGAAAAGGAAAGAATGGAAATGGTGTTTTACAGAGTAATCTCAGGTGTTCTGCCTCCTCTGAAAAACAACTGCAGCAAAATCCACTAAAAAGCAAAAATGTGGACACACTTAAATGCATTTCTAAAGACTTCAATTTAATAACTTTGCAAGACAGTAAGACCAATGACCCAATAGAGCTCC